ATAAAATAAAATAAAATAACGGGGTTCTTATATAGCGCATTTTACATGGTCTCAATGCGCTTCACAATCATGACAAGTGTAGGACTTTACGGGCTGCGTATTTAGGTGCTAGTAGCAGCCGTGCAGCTTACAATCATGAGTGATTTGTTAGCAAGTTAGTATTAATGCCTCCAGATTGGGATAAAAGAAAGTATATCAAAATTGATGGGATATAATTTCTGATCTTTTTTCTACGCAGCCGCTATAGACTACTCATTACTAGGGTTTTCTGGCAAAATATCAGGGACGATATCCCATCATTCCGTATACTGATACTTCTGATATACAACCGTTTGCAAAAATATGCCTGCTTCAAATAATAATTATGATTATATAACTATAAACATATTATTTTACAATAACTTACAAATTTCTCGCGCGCTGATTGGTTATTTTTTATCATCAATAAGAGGACAGACAGATAAAGCTGACGTCAACGAGCGCGCACTCCTTCCGTTGGTTGTTTTGAGAAGTTTTTATCGTTTTTGTTATTGTAAAAAAACAAATTGACATCAGATTTTTAAGTGTTTGTCCTCTTATTGACAATAAATTTCGCCATCACATTGTCAAAGTAGTAGTCGGATCCACTCGGCTACGCCTCGTGGATCCACACTTTATTATATCGACATTAGTGTTTTACTGGGAATTTTTGCATACAAACTACATCGTGTAGCTTCAGCTACAGTGGTTCTGTGTTATGGAATGGATTGTCAGTTGACTTGAGAAAGTCAAAGTCTCTCAATCATTTTAAAATGGGACTTGACAAATTTTATTCGTTACCAGACTCCCACACGGCAAACATGTAAACCAGTTTTAATTTTAATTCATTTGAATTTAGGATGTAACTGATGTTTTTACCGTGTATAAATAAAGTTTTCTGTCTGTCTGTCTGTCTGTATCCGTGCCCTTAGTGACATATTTTCCATATCCTACAAGTGAAGTTATCCATGACGTCTTTTTCAATGTTTTCCATAAAGCACTATAGCTAACTATCGTGACAGTCTTTGATAGTGGTTAAAAAATAGTTAGAAAAGAATCCATTACAAAAAAAAAGGCTAATGAGCTTATCAGATTGTTCATAATAATAGATTTCTTTGGCAATGCGTAGAGTATCACTGCCAGCTGCCAAAATGGTTTAATGGGAATAAAAATTATTTATATATATATATATTATAAATATATTTTTGAATATACTACAATATCTTTATTGAACATATTGTCTCATACGTCTTTTATATAAAGTCTTGATCAGACGATTTTGATCAGATATTTTTTAAATGTAACTTTATTTTGTAACACTTCAACCGTTGTTGCTTAGTTGCTATAATCATAGGCGCAGACTTACAGGCTCCAACTTAGAGCTCGACTTAGAGATCTGTACATTACCATGTAAGCCAGTAAGATTGATGATCACCACTTGTCGTGGATGGCTTACGGATTGTGTTGCTAGATACCAATCAAGGAAATGAAGTCAAAGACTATTTATCTGTCTAGATCTTTTCAAAAACAAGACAGGAATAGTTAAATGTCTGAATGTAATGGTAATTCTTTCACAGTGTTAACGGCTTTCTTGACTTATCTAGAATTTGTGAGGACAATGCTTAAAATTCCCAAGATAGATGTGTCTTATGAGGAAGTGTTAGTGAGTTAAATATGAAAAACAAAGGAATAATACATTTATCCCCTAGCAGATTCTACTTTACGACTAATTTAGCGGCTAATACTGAAAAAGAAAGGGGGGAAGAAGGGAAGAAAGGAAGAAAGGAAGAAAGGAAGAAAGGAAGAAAGGAAGAAAGG